GAACAATGTTAACTTACACTAATCAACATATTACTTTTATTACACTAATCAACATATTCTCATTAGAAACTATAATAAACTTATGTACGATACGCCATACTACTGAGCACTGTTCAATACTACTTGAGTTACTATTCTATTTACACATTACACAATGCTATTCAACACTTTTCAACACTGCTCAAAAATACTCAACCTAACCTCAACCTCTACATAACACTCAATTCTTATGCAATACTTCTTAAAAACAATTGAAAGCAACTTCACATTTTTCAACACTTTTTACACTTACACTTAAATATAATTAAGAAAATGGAATCAGCTCGAATAAAATTGACAAGAGAATGAATAAGAAACAATATAAGGAAATATATAATCAATATATTGACATCAATAAATTATATAAATCTTGTTGATTATTGGAAAAGTTATTTGTTTCCAATCCCTGCACAACACTTTGCAGAAGCTCCCAACTCGCAGCCATCTCCTGGGCAAACAGTATATTAATAACTTGAGACCGAAAATTGTTCCACCTGGCGTATGAGTAACCAATGCAGTGGCCAGTTCGAAGGCGATAGCTCTGCAATTATGTGCAACTAGCTGCAACGCATAAATTTCTGCATAACGACTGAAACATAGTCAAAGCCAGAGTAAAACCCACAGGCCTCAGAAACCAGAAACCGGAGAAGCAATCATTAATTATAAGTGCCACATAGGTAAATTTCTAATTGGTAGCTACTAAGCAGAAGTTGGTCGAAATATGTTTGCTTGGGGAATTTCCGTCGACTCTGATGTTTAATAGACAGCCATGGAAACTCGATACAATCGAATACACAATTAGCTTGATTGGTTAAATGCTTATTATGCCATGGGAAAATATTATTATTAATGTACAAGAGTTTATGTTGAAGTGGCAAAAGGAATCTCAAATAATTGCTCAAGTATTGCTCTACTCAAATAGGGTTGAGCCAAAACTAGTTTCCATGTGATTTCACGACGATTTAATACATATACGACATATATCAAATATAAAATACCATACGATGATATATATCATTAAACAATTATTATAATAATTATAAGTTATTATTCTCAAAAACCTAAATACAGAAAAAAAGACAATTCTTTATCAAGGAAATACCCCACAGTAGAAGCAAGCGTGCTTCAGTCAAGACTGACCGTCTAGTTAATACCCTATACTAGTGTTCTATGCTCTGTTTCATATCTTTAATAATTTTTGAGCTCTGCAGTCACCTATCTGTCTATAAAATCATGAGGAAATATGGAGATTTGCAAAAGGTGGTATATTATCTGACTGTATAGTATACTCTGCCTACGTATCAAATGTCGTGTCTCTTTTCTTTTCTTTCCAAAAAACCAACCTCTAATCGTTAATCGTTTATCGATAATCAATTCAAATAGAGCTATCGATAAGCAGAATTTATCTTGTTCTGTGTGTGGTATAAAAACTTACGTATCTCAAATTTAAAGTTCTAGTGTTTAAAGTATTTAAAATTAACTTATCAGCTGATAAGTTACTGGAAAATGAATGAAGATGGTCACATCCAACAAGCCTGTCGACTGTATGTACCATGTGTGTTCGAAGATGCCACCCTCTTTATCTTGCATTCGTACAGGGTATAGAAAAGTACTTGCATGCGCATTTTGGGGTCGGAAAACGAAACAATAGAAGTGCAAGCACCTAACTAACCGAACTAGTTGAGCAGCTCAATCTTTCTATATGTATATGTGTGTGTATATATATAGACACTCAAGTTGTAGTTACCGATTCGTGTGCATGTTGAACAAACGAGCGAGTGAACAATGCAAATAATTGTCAAACATTGCACAAAGGAGGTACAAAAGAAAAAAAAAACGTGCCCACAATGGCCGCAATGAATGGAAGCGTATGATTTTTATAGCGCTGCCAACAGGCATTGTGCTAAGTTGTGGAAAATCGGGAAAAACGCGCCAAGAAAAGTGAGGAAAACTTCGGATGCTGCCTGCTGATTGTCTATGCTATTGGCTTTTCCCCATTCTGTTACGCTTGGGGGCGAACTAAGCGGCGCTTTAATCGCGCCCAAAGTGCACAAGCAACTGAAAAAGGTGCGCATTATGTGTTCTGGCCGGGAGCAGGAGATTTTCCCTCTGTCATTGGCTTTGCACATTTGAATGAACGTAAAACTGTGGGTTAGTCCTTTCGAATCCTAGTGTCATTGTCAACGCTGCAAGCCGCCCCTATGCCGTCTTACTATCCAGCATTACAATGAAAGTCAATAAATTTGATTTGACATTTGCCTTAACTACCGCTGCCCTCTCCAGCCACTCGCCTTCTGCGACATTTTCTTGCGCTGATTCAGCACATTTGCCTTGCGCTTGTCGTCGGGCTTCGAATGTAATTTTATTATCCCTGCCTGACAAAATGTCACACATTCAGTTTTTTAATGAGCAGCGCCGACTGGGTGAGGCGGTTGGTGCTGAAAGGGGGCTGAATAAAGTAGAAGTTAAAAATCAGTTAGATGGGAAGAGAAGTTATTCTGAATGGAACATTTAAATAGGAAAGGTTCAGTAATACTTCAAATAAGAGTACTTTATTTAATTATAATATTATCAATTTCATTATTATTATTATTTTGAGATACAATAATAAAAACTTAAATAGCCATTATCATATCATAGCCCGGAACTTATATTTCAACTAAATAAAAAAAACAACGTCTGTCTGTCTATTTGTATGAAGTTGTATACATAACTTTGGTACATTGTGTTTTGTTTTTAAAATTCAGGTTTAATTTTTCGATAACTGTCTACAAGTTTATTGCTTTACTTTATGAGAAACCGCCATTTACTAAACATTTTCACCTTCATACCCTAAGAACACCAAAGGATTTTGCCAACCTTTCACCTAACCTATTGATCTATCACCTCACGAAGCTCGTTGAATAAGACTCCACTTTGTTTCGACGCAAGACTGTTGCTGGAGGGCGCGTTGCCAAAAACCACTTTGATAATTTTACCAACACTGTCAACATGCGCCGCCGTTTCACCTATCTTTCTATCGCTTATGTCTGTCTGGTGACAGTTTTTTTTTAAATGGCTGTTTCCGCTTCCGCTTCCGTTTCCTTTACTTTTGACTTGCCTGCACGTAAATTGTGTGCCATTCACGACTGTTTTTGTACCCTATACTCATTGAAACGTTGGCAATTTGTGGCATAAAAATGATGTGCACATGAAATGACTCCCGCCTGCCTGTCCGCTCATTAGTCTGACGCTCTTCGAGAATATAATAGATACAGCTTGAGAAAATTGGTAGTTATCGATAATAGATAAATGTCGACGCACAGTCCTATTTTTGTGAGATGTTTCTCATTTAGCACAACTCACTTTCTAAATGTATTCTCCAATATTAACAAGTAAGAGGTTCTAGTCGGAAGCTCCCGACTAGGGAATACACTGAACCCTCTTATTCCAACACCAAATGTAGTTCGCGCAACGCGCTCGTTTGAAGTAATAAAGATAATTTAAAAATGAAGTTCTCTTGGCAGGGTTCGAACTCGCAACTGACCGCATTACTTGCTGACGACTCTATTCAACAGCCACACAAGCCCAAAAAAGAAAACAGTTCCCCCAGTAGGGCTTGAACTCACGACAGACCGCAACACTTGCTATGCCTCTCCTCAACGGCCACACCAATAATTAAGTATTATTGAGAAAAAATCGAACTAAAGTAGCAGCACATAAAACAATCGCAATTGCAATGCTGTTGAACAATTTCGAAGCAGACGCGCGTGAATATGTGTGTGTACATGTATACAGAAATTCTTGGAATTTGCTCCCCATCCAATTGCGCAGTAAAACATTACTTTGGTTTTTTCTTAATCGATCTTAATGAAGTATTCTACAGTATATCTAATTGTATCATAGAATATTTTCATTAAGTTGTGGCTTAAATTGGTGGGCAATATAAGTTGGGTTATTAGCTTGCTTTATAGCTCTGTGGTGCTAGCGGGGAGGTGGCGATAGGTATAAAATTTAAGAAACTTGATATATATATATTATTCTAGAAGTAACACATCAAGTTTGGTGATACCAGTCTTAATATTTACTCAATTTGCTCAATAAACAGGATGCCGAAATTGAATTTTATCGATTGCTTGGAAACGGAGTATGTTATCGATTATCGGAAACAAACTCGATCTGCTCAGGCACTAGTTTCTAAGATCCTTGCGTTCATACATACGGACGGCCGAACAGACGGACAGACAGACAGACATGGCTAGATCGACTCGGCTGTTGATGCTGATTAAGAATATATATACCTAATGGGGTCGGAGATGCTTCCTTCTGCCTGTTCAAAACATTTGCACAAGTACATTATACCCTTTTTAACCATTTTTAATGGGTTCAGGGCATAAAAATAAAAACTTATATTAAAATATGTTATATTTTTGGTGTATGGCAATGCATAGTTGGCTTTAGGGTATCTCTTATTCGTGCATTAGCGCATAGAATTCCGCTACTTGTTTTTCTCTTGTGTCTTTTGCCGCTGATGTTGGCGGTAAATTTTACTACAATGCATTTATAATCTCTTTCACTTATCTTTTCATAGTTTCCTTTTGCACAGTGGCAAAACTTTTTACGGTCTGAGGTTAAAAGTGGCATCATACATTTTGAGAAAGCCTGCGCCCCCCACCTTACCCAACTTCGTTTGACCCGACCCACCGTGCTGAATGAAAAGTTGCAAAAAGGTTGCGGTGGCGACTGCAAAAGGTGCGAATGCAACGCAATTTTTGCTGAACACTTGAGTTTTTAACCTGTCGACAATTTACAATTTTGACAGATTTATGAGTTAATTACGTTGGCCAAGAAATACGCGCAAACAGATTATGATAGATATAAAGATTAAAAGACAATTTAAGCTATTATTTATTGTAATGTATTATTGCCTAAGCTAACAAGCCTTTGGGATTTTTATCATTTCACAGCAAATATATTTTGAAAATTTTTAGAAAAATGTGTATACAAATTCTTAAGTAAAATATTTTTTGAAACAACTATTAAAGTCGAAATCCGTCTTTTAAATTGTAAGTAAATACACGATGAATATAGGAATAGAAGATATTTTTGACATAAGGTTAGAATTTTCGATCTGGTAGAGTATTATATGGAAATATCTTATAATAGCAGCTAGATAATGTACATTATGACATTTTTAATATATTTTAATGGTTTGTAGTCTTACAAATAAATACTTTTATCAATAATATTTGAGAAAATACGTATATAAATTGAACCAGTTTCTGTTACTATAGACAATATTTATATTTATCTTTAAGTTACCAGCTTTATGTAGAATTATAAATTATTTGAGTTCATCTTATATATTGAACCTTGGAATTTGGTAAGCATATTTACTAATTTTTAATTTCAGACCTTCAGTTACTTTTATTTTTTTGAGTTTAAACCACATATTGCGCATTTAAGTATAACTATCATGGCCGAAGAAGAACAGCAACCAGTCGAAGGTCCGCATAAATCTCCGCTTGGTCTATCCCCCGAAGATTTTGCTCATAGCGTACCTGTTCTTCTATGGAAGCTAGGCATAGCTTTGGGCTGTAAACGTCCCATGTTGGAGCATCACGTAGAAGTCGCCGCACCAGAAACCAAAATTAACATAAATCTCAATCATTTCCGGCAACGATTTAGGCAATTGCATTCCATGGAGAATGCGCAGGACCAGGTGCTAGAGGAGCATCGGTATAAGCTCTTTCTACATCTCTATAGGCTGCTTACGAGGCTAGAGCCAAATGAATCCAAACGTCGGCAATTTCTTATATTTTGCTATCACCTTTTTGATACGAAAAAGCCGCAACAAGTGCATCTGGAAGAAACGTTGCGATACCAGGAACACATCACCGAATCCCTCATCTCGGTTGCTCGAAATGTAATGCATCTAAATGAGGAGAATTCGGAACGTCCTTCGGAAGTAAGATCTATCAATATTGAAAACTTTTTTCCTATGCCCAAAAGGTCTTGCACTTCACAAATATTGAAAGTAGGGTTTGCCTCTGTGGTATATAAAGCAGCGCGATTTTGCTGTAACTCAAAAGGTTTGCGTTGGGATCAGGCAAGCTATAAAATAAGTTATATTCAGGCGAGGAAAGCGGCAAATGCAACAAATATTAGGGAAGAACCGAAGCCGAACAAAGACGATGAAATGAAGGTAATTTATATGTTAAATTGGAATAGGCCCGCCAAATCATGTTCAAGCAGTTCAGAGCTTATGCTCTATGAAGATATTGGAATCCAGTTGAAAGAATGCAATTCGAAGAATCGCGAATCAAGAGCTGGTACGGAAGAACCTTTAAGTATAATAATTATCACAATGACATTGTACTAGAGATAGAATTGTTCGATTGGCCAAACAGATGTAGAATAGGATTTTACAAACAAACACGTTTAAAAATTAATTTTTTGACACTCACATCCTTCACAAGACAAACATCGTACACTTTTCACAGGGGTTGATTGACTTTAATTTGTGGAACTCTAAAAAATCGGTATTTTTTCCAGCTGAAATATGCGAAAAGAGAAGGAATATTATCAAGGAGACGACTGAGGTAGGCTGTCAGTTTGTGGAACCGACACGATCTGAACTACTAAATAAATCTCAGCAAACTGAACTACACCACACGCTGTCAGATCGGGGTGTTCAAACAAGTCGAAGTGTATTTTCCGATATCGCTACGAATACTGATGATGAATTGCTTCTGGTACAAATCAATCGTATGGAAACACCGGAAATAGAAACAAGTACAGGTGAAATATTTACCGATATCGATTGGAAAATAAAAGAAGAGCAAGCAATATCCACGAAAATTAAGCCTGAAATCGATCGGTCTAGTGTATATCGCAAATTCACAACTACGAATAACCCTACCGGCTTCTGTATGGAGCAAGTGAAGCCATCTGTCTGGTGGGCAAATCAGCGCTTAACCTCCCCTATAGATCATTTCCTTTTGACGACATCTGAAGAAATGCTGTCACAGATCGGTCATACAATAACAGAACAAGAACCGATAGTCAGTAGTGCAACAATGCACCAGGAATCAATAACTCCAAGAGTCAGTTCCAGCACTCACTTGGAGTTACGTAATCAATATTCCTCATATTACCATCAACATTACATTTTTACGGCATCCGAAGAAAGTTTGGCAGAAATTGATCTTCCGATAATAGGGCAAGAACTGATAACAGCTCGGTCGTTAGAGCAGCAAGAGTCGAAAGTTTCTGGAGTTTATTCCAGCGTTCACGCAGAGGTAAGCAGTCCATTCACAAGCAACTGGAAACATAAAGCGCAGCCAAATATTGAACAATCGATAGCTCAACGGGAATCGATATCTACAACACTTTTCACCGAAACTGATCAGTACACACTTTCCATTTCGGAGCAACCTACGCTTACATCCTCTAAGGAAATGTTGCCAGAGATTGATAAGTCGATAACACAACAAAAACTGATGCCCGATGGATCGATAACACAGCAAGAATCGATATCTTTAAGAGCTACGACTAGCGTTCTATTAGAGCGCGTGCCCTCTCCCACTGGGTGGCAACAAGATTTGCTGTCAGACCCTGTTCAGTCGACAATCTCTGAAGAAGATATAACTGAAAAAGTTACTTCCGACTGCCCTTTAGAGGAAGTTAATCAAGTTCGCGAACCTACCACATGGCAACATCCGCAGCAGACGAAAGACTTATCAATTAATTACACAATAAATCAGCAATCGATGCCCGATGGATCGATAAAACAGCAAGAATCGATGCCTTTAAGAGCTACTTCTAGCGTTCTATTAGCGCGATCTAAGCGCATGTCCCCTCCAACTGGGTGGCAACCAGGATTGCTGTCAGACCCGGTTCAGTCGATAACCTCTGAAGAAGATATAACTGAAAAAGTTACTTTCGATTGCCCTTTAGAGGAAGTTAATCAAGTTCGCGAACCTACCACATGGCAACATCCGCAGCAGACGAAAGACTTATCAATTAATTACACAATAAATCAGCAATCGATGCCCGATGGATCGATAAAACAGCAAGAATCGATGCCTTTAAGAGCTACTTCTAGCGTTCTATTAGCGCGATCTAAGCGCGTGCCCCCTCCAGCTGGGTGGCAACCAGGATTGCTGTCAGACCCTCTTCAGTCGATAACCTCTGAAGAAGATATACCTGAACAAAATACTTCCGACTGTCTTTTAGAGCTAGTTAAGCAAGTGCATGAGCTAACCACATGGCAGCATCCGCAGCAGACGAAAGAGACGATAAGCCTGCAATCGATGCCCGATGAAACGATAACACAGCAACAATCGATAACCAAGTGGCAGCACCAACGGCACGTTATAGCCGCCTCTCGTTTCATTGTAAAGCAATTTCAATGCAACCCCGCCTATCAATGCTCGCCCATGCAGCGCGATGCGCCCAATTTCTTTGCGCAATGGACACAATTCCATGAGATTGTGGCGCCCCAAGCAAAATGGAACCAAGCCAATCGGAACCCCACGATCGATGTCGCTGCGATCCGAAGACGCTTAAAAGCTTTTTTGCGTTGCATGCGCAAGAAATATTCCTTCGATCCGGAGCAGTGTGTGGCCGCGATTGCCAAATGCCAGCTGCAACAGCTGCTCACCGCCGACGAACTGCGGGAATACGAGACGATGCGCTGGCAGCAGCGGGATCGTGGCACTGCCAGGGAACTGTCGCATGAGGAGCGACTGCAGGATGCGCTGCACGGCATGCTGGGCTACGAGTGCCAGCAGCTGCGTTCCTCGGCTCTGGGTCCACGTCTGATGTTGCGCTCGCCGCATCATCAGCGCAGCATAAGCGAATCCTATCTGCTCCTGTCGCTGGCCGAGGTGGGCTACTACTACAGATGCCTGCAGCAGCAGCAGAAGCATCTGCAACAACTGGGCGAATGTGGGCGCGCTTTGACGCCCTGTCTGCTGGCTGAATTGCTCAACTATTCCGAGTTTTATAAACGGCAAAAAGTGCAGCCCAAGAGTCTTCTGCATTTATTCTGGCACACGAGAAGCTATCGACAGCGCTTCCAGTGGCTATTGCAGCTCTGCGGCGGCTTGAGCAGGCGACAGCCATTGCTGCAGTATTTGCAATTGCAGCTGGGCCAGGCCAACGCCGCCTGCGATATGCTGCTGCAGTTGTGGCTGCGTTGCGCCGCCGAGCCGCTGCTGGCCCGGATTAGTAGCTGGCTGCTGCGTGGCGAGCTGCCTGCGGATGAGTTTTTTATTTTGGAGCGCAGCAGCGACAATTGCCTTGTGGAGCACTATTGGACGCAGCAGTTTGAGCTGGTGCAGCAACAACTGCCGTATTTTTTGAGCCAAGCGCTGGCACAGCAGCTACTCGGCGCGGGCCGAAATCAACATTATGCCCGTCAATTTCTGGGCCGGCAGCTTGAGCTGACAGTATCTGATGCAGAGCTGCGTGAGCAATTGGCAGCCGCCTGTGCCAGCAGCTATCGTGAGCTGGATGAGCAGCCACTCGCTGAGCTTGTCACCGACCTGCAGCTGCAGACATCCAGAGAGCTGTTGCAGCAGCTGAAGCAAGCGAGTCCACAACCCTTGGAGTTGCTCAGCCGGCTGCATCAATATTGGCTGCTGACAGATGTGGAATTTGTGCGCGAATTGATCGAGCTGCTGGAGCCGGCGCTAGAGCAGCCCGCTGAATACTTTAATCCAAAGCAACTGAACAAAATGTTGGAGCAGCTGCTCTGCGCCCACAATGAGAATCTCTATGTGGTTAAGGGTGACCACAAGGGCAGCCAGAGCTGGTGCTGCTTCCTCTTACGTTGGCAGCAGCCGGCCCACTGGCTGCCCTTACTGGGCGCGCGCCAGTTGCAATACGAGATCAGCTTTGCCTGCCTCTGGCAGCTTCACTATGCAGACTATGTGCTCAATGAGCGGATAAGGCGACATCAAGCGCATTTTTGGGAGCGCATCAATTTGGCGCACTCGAAGGATGCGCGGCATGTGAGAGATCGCTTCGAGCAGTTCAGTGACCGGCTGCAGGAGTTTATGCTACAGCTGCGAAGCTATATGCTGCAGGATGTGCTGGCCAGCGCTTTTGAGCGTCTATATTTTGGCTGCAGTACGGCAAAAACTCTGGACGAGCTGCTCGAGCTGCATGGTGCGTATCTGGAAAGCATTGAGTACGGCATTATGCAGAGGGGGAAATGCGGCAAGTTCCAGCACTATCTGGGCCAGCTCTATGCGTCCATTATTCATCTGGATGCAGTGCAGCAAAAGTTTCTATCACTCGGTCAGCTATTCAATCAGCGCTTGGATAAGCGGGAATCGGCGCAGCAGCTGCTTCTGGAACTGCGTTGGTCCTGCCAGAATACATGCGATGCCATTAACGATTTGGAGCACGATTTTCAATTGGTTTTGGCCGAGTTTTTGACTGGCCTTTACGCCACAGGGGAGCCGCAGCTGCAGGTGCTGGCCAAAAAATTGGATCGACATGGGTATTACGAGCAGCGATTTAAGGAATTAAAGGAGGCGCAAACGTTTAAATTTCAGCGAAAACTAAAAACTAAAAGGAAATCGCAATTCGATTAGCTTAAAACTTAAGCTCAAAATTTCATTTTATTTTATTGATTTTTGGTAATTGAAAATTTGGTTTTTATAATTTTATATAATGATAGTTGAGGTTAAAAAACTATTTATTTTTAATTTTTATTAAAAAATGTGCATTTGCTTAAGTTATAAATAAATACATTTTTTTGCTTATTAAATTTTAGTATTAAAATATTGCTATTCTACTCTAGAACCTAGAGTAGAACTTTTATATAAATATATAATATATTATCAATATTTGTGATCAGCTGGTCTCACAATACACCATGATTAGTGAGACCAGCTGTTCAGATATGTATATATGTATATATTTATAAAATCTTTTATATTTATGTGAATATTTATATATATATATATATCATTATTTAAAATTATTAGTAGATTTATCAAATGATTTATTTCTATATTTTATTATTAAAAATACTTTAAATTAATTTTTATTTTTTAATGTAGTTATTAGTATTTTGTTAGTATTTAAAATACTTATATTATTCTAGACCCCAATTTAATGTATTTGTATATATATAGTTTAATTTTTAGTATATATTCTCATTTGAGAATTATATAGAATTAAATAAAAAGGAATCTTTAAAGCAGTTTTATGATTCAACAATTTCTGCTAATCGAAAGTTTCAAGTTTATTTTTAGTATTTTATATAAATACATATCAAATATTTCTTGTCAACTGGCAACTTTCTAGACTTACTTATAGAAAACAAATATTTTATTAAATTAAAATTGAATCCTGATTCTGTAATCGTATGCCAATATTTCCTTCATTCTCACCTATTCCACTTTAATGTCCTTCCCATGCGCAAGTACAAAGCCTTCCACATTCAGTCCAATTCATGCACATGCGCGTGTCCGTTTAAAGGATTGACAATGGATTTAAGCAAAAAAATATTTTCATTTGAAAAACGTCGTCTCTTTGGCGTTTTTGTGTGCACAAATTGGATTTTAATTGAAAATTAAGAATCGACTTAGCAATGTTTGAATTGTGCAGCTGCCTTTTGTTATGCTAATTTCTGCTGTGAATACAACTGAATAACGAATGAATAGATGCAGGCAGTCGTCATCGTCGTAGTCGTAGTCGTGTGAGTCTTGTGTAAAATAAAGTAAATAATGGATAATTACTTTTTGGCTTAAGCGTTGGCAAATTAATTCCAAGTCCTGCTTTCGTATTTCTCTTCAGAAGTTCGTGTGAAATTTAATTATTTCAACAAATTTCAATTAAATCAAGTTGAATACTTTTTTCTTCCCCCTTTTTTTTCATAAATGCATAATTTAATTTTGTAAAATTTCCACATGCCAAAATATCATACATATCTAATTGTAAAATCTGGCCATAAGCAATGCACAATGCTGGAAGCGTATATAAGTCGAGAACTCTTTGTTATCTTGACAGGCCCAGCTGCTGAGACGTTTTCTGACTGCGTCACATATATCAGGCTGGTAAAATTATAAAGCGGCTGCCTTTCAGAAAGAATGTCAAGAGGAAGATAATTGAGCCAGGCATTTAATATAACCTTCCATGGCTGGGCCAAATGGTGGGGGCTGCCTTTATTTTGTCATGTGTGCTTTGGACGGCAAAAGGCAAACAAAAGACAAGTGAGTGACTTTTCACTTGCCACTGATTAGCAAAATTAATTTCATAGAAAATTGCGAGCGCATGTGTGTGTGAAAAGTCATAATAATGTGAGCTGATAAAAAATGGCAGATTTAATAAGCTGTCAGAAGAACTCAGTTTCGACAATTGTTGGCCAGGAATTTAATTAACTGACCCATTGAAGGTCATAAAATTGGAGCTTAACTTAATTCTTGCCCTACTTTGTGGTCTAGGCATTGTTTAGCCATTGTCTTGGTAAAATTACCATGAACTTTATGATATTTGCAATTTGTGTTGTCTAAATTTAAAAGTATCTAATTGTTAATTATTTTGCAACGAAATGATAAGTTAATAAGCGACAATTTCTCTGGTTCATGCTCATTGTAAATTTAACATGGACTTTAACATATTGTGCGGCATTTGTTTCTCGCTTTTGACCATAAACCATCAAAAGGGTTTTCATGTTCATGGTAAAGTTAAATTAAACATTTTAACACGCTGTTTTATATGTTAACACCGAATTTAACTGGGCAAAGTTGCCGCACATCTGCCTTTTAAATAAGTTATGTGTAAAACAAGAGTTTTTCCTGCTAATTACCAACTTACCAGAAGCTATAAAAAAGTTAACATGGACTTATATTCTAACTGCAGAAAAGAACAAGCTAATGTTTTCAAATGTAACTTCATAGTTTTAAGAATTTTTCAAATTTCAGCACATAAAAATTGCCATGAAGCTTACAGACAAGTTGCTTAATGTCAAATTTGCATATTTGCCAGCTTGAGCCTAATTAAATAAACTCATAAAAGTCACTTTTTTAACTAAATTTTTTCTCTGCATATAAATATATTTGCATTTGTATATGATTATATAATTTCTATATAATTAAATGTTGTTTAATTGTTGTTTGCTGCTCTTCATACGCTTACTATGTAGCCTATGCCGTAGAGTACACAGCAATTGTGCGCCATTTCCAAATTAAACAATAAAATTTATTATTATGACCGTGACATATGAGTACTTGATCTGTTCGAGCCATAAATTTCAGTTGCAGTTGCGCGCTGGCCGTTTAACATTTTGCCATTGTTATTGACAATTTGTTGTCAGTATTTTCCCTCTTTTTTTCTCTCTTTCTCTTTCAGAGGGATACAATTTATGTGGGGGGCGGTCTTTATGAAATACTTCTCATTATTGCAGTGAAGCAGCCTGGGCAAACATATTTGAACTATTTTCATTACAATTGCAAACACAGGGCGCGCAGAAAATCAATTGAATTGCCATTTCACATATGAAATGGTCATTTGTCAATGAACACACGTACACACACACACACACACAGAAGCACAACAATTGATAGGGGGCGTGGCTGGCCGACGCTCTGGTTACTGCGGTCTGTCAAAATGGCCGCATAAATATGTCGTTCGACCATGGCCCCGCGTCCACTTGTCGCTAAATTGCTGGTCGTTATTAAATTTCCGCTGCGTTGAGTTCTCATTTCCGTTTCAATGGGCAGCGCAGCTGGCGACGAATATGTGCGACGGATGTTGCCACAGACATAGATACCGTTAGCACTGACCAGCATCGGCTACACCATAAACAATGTTGGGCAACACAAGAAAAAAAAAACAACAAATGTGTGTTGCAGTCGGTTGCAAGCCACTGTGTAATGCCCGTTCACAATTCAATAATAGCTTTAACTATTAAGAAATTTATGAATTCAACTTTGAACTGTTTCATTTAAATGTTGCAAATAAAAAATAAACCAGGAATTGAACCAAAAGCTGGGCTCACGTATGTGGAAAACCAGGTTCCAACCGAAACACTGGACTTGCAGGCCTGGCGCTCAGTTCCAGAACAAGTAAAAGCACAATTTGTCCGATTTGTCACGACCCTTTTGGCCATATTATCGTGCTTTGTATAGACGCCCAGCAAGACAGACATTGTACAAAACCAGCATACCCCTTTATACTTTGTGAACAGAGTATAAAAAAGGGTTAACAGTTGCTGCAGCTTAGTGGCTGGCTGTTTGGCGGGGTGCAACATATTTGCACGCCCCATGGGGCGTATGCGTAATATTCGATTGTTATTATATTGTATATAAACATATATATTTTTGGCAGCGCCTAAACAATTGCACATTACACACACAGTTTATGTGCCGCAATCAAAATCAATGCTGGAATCCAATTGCATTATTTGGACTTTTAGCAAATTGCAACTAATTGAAATGCCCCTCTGTAGCTACAGGAGGAGCGCGTAGTGGTAGGGGCAGCTGACTTTTTCACTGATTTCATAACTGGTTGCTAGTGTGCAGCTTGTGTGTCATAAATTTCAATAAAAGGCATTTTTGGTATTTGGTTTGGCTTCTTGCTGGCTGTGTATATGTGTGTGTAAGTGTGTATGTGTTTGGCTTTTATTGGCATTGCGTATACGCCGCATGACCCTGTTTGGACGAGCATCTTCTAGTTTTTCTCACTCGTTTTCCCTTTGTCGTCCCCTCTCACTCTCGCTTGAACTAACTTTATGCCTTTATTGTGCTCTGTTTTGGCATTTGCTATTATTTTATTTAATTCACATTGTTATTGTTATTGCTGCAAAAGTGCAAAAAGCTGTTGACGTGTCCAGTGCTGGCTAATGGCATAGCACTGACGAGCCAAAAAAACTTTTGTCTTCCCATAAATTTAATAAGTTTTTTTTTTGCTTAGATTTGCCAAAATAACATAAATGTATGAAGTGCCTGTCCGTTGGCTGAAAATGGATATGTTATTTATATAAGTTGTAACTTTTCTATTAAGAGGTTAGATATTCTATTTATATATTTTTGCCAATATTATTATCTTAATTGCAATCCCTGACACTTACATATACTTGCTTTAAATGTTTTTTGTTTTTCAATTCAATATCTCTTAGATTTACAAACTTCACATTCCGCTTTTCCATTAGCAAGTGTTAGTTGTCGGTAACATAGGAATGTCGAAAGTACCGCTTCTAATAAAAATCATAAACAGCTGATCGGGTTGATTTGATATACCTAAGAACCGCAAAGTCCAATAATACGGCCTCTCTGTCATATCAGCTGCTTATGGTAAAAATACTTTCATATTTTCCGTAACATCGGTACAAAATTCGATAAATTATCGAAAAAAACACTAATTACTCGGGGCGAATAACAACATTGTTTGCAAATGTGATAAATGTGGTTTCTTGGGTTGGGAAACGTTCAGGCAACATATGTACTTCACATTCGCAAACAAATTTAAGAAATGTTGATAATGGAATTAGGCTATAAAAAAGTCTCTCTCTCTCCTTAGAGATTAATACTGACCTGCTCGTCCGAGTCGCACTTCCCTGTCAAAGGTCATAAATACCTTTGACTAACCTTTTACTGGTAATAAACAGTTTGAAAATTATTTGCACACTCATTTAATTATATGCATATAATTTTAAGTATGCCGCTCCATGCCCCGCACCCGAAAAAAAAGACCATAAAATTGCATGTAATTTAATGAAAATATATTACGAGCTGCCCAGACGGCCAGCCTCGGCCTTTTGGCCTCTAATTTTATTGTGCGCTCGGCCTTTGTGGCTGGTCAACCCCAGCGAAAAAAAGAGAACAAAAATGAAAGAAAAAAGAAATATAAATAACGAAATTATTCAGAATTATGAACCATCTTTCAGTGGGTGGCATTTTAACCCTTGTTGGTGCGTCTAATATTTGGCCAAGATTTTAATAAAATGCGCCAAGCGTTGAGCACAGCTGATGGCTGTTAAATCTAAGAAAATGCATAAAAAGCCGCTAAATAAATACATATTAAAATTGTGTCAGTTCGGAGCAGCTCAGCTTAACCCATTTTACGATGATGAGCATTATTATTATTATTCTATTCTTTTTCTTATTATTACTTATTGTGATTATTTTCTTGGCTAAACAAAGTATGTTAATGGTTGCTCGGCGAAAGGCTTTTGTTCGCCTGGTTGCCAGCCTGCCAACCTTTTATTTATGTGCCGCTAATGGACAGTGTTGAAAAACTGCAAACTTCCCACGCGATATTATTTATTGTTTCTTCTTTTTTTTTGCTGTTGTTTTTTGCTAGCCCCATTGTAATATTTATTCATTTGGTTCATTGATTTATGAGCGTTTAGCATTTAAATCAAAATCAACGCCAATGTCTTACAATAATTATTCGCATTTTATCAATTTGATGCGCCTATTTATTATTATTTATTTTCATTTCATTCCCTTTGCTGTGCGCGTCCCAAATTTATGTTTCCGCTGACCACAAGAGATTCATTCTCATTTCTGCCCCGTTCCTTTGGCCCCATTTAGCTCTTCTCTTTCTCTTAACAAATGCCACTTGATTAGTTGATGACACTTTGTATGAGCACAAATACATGCGCACACAAATACATACACAGAGAGACGTATATATGTATGCACATACCACAGGCTCAAAGCACAGTGACGTCGCCTGAAGGGTAATAACAAACAGATCGCGAGCTTGTCCAATATAATTCATTTAAGTAGAATTTAAAGTCTTATATTACATAGTTTATTGTCATTTGTCATTCTCTCCAAATTCACACTCTTCTTCTCACTTTCCAAACTTCTTAAAAGTAAAAAGTCTTTAACATAATCAAACTGAAACGACAAAGTGAGGATATCTTCGGCATGCCAAAGATTTAATGCACTTCTATACATTTCCCCCTTTTCAAATATGTGAGAAGAGTAAATCTCGAAAATGCTGGGTTTTTAAAAAATGTCTTTGAAAACAGAATATTTTGATATAGTGGTCCGATCCGGCCGGTTCCAACATTTTTACTGCGTGCAACAAAAAGAGGGACTTATGCAGGGTTTCAAGTTGAATAGTTTAAGACTGAGAGACAAGTTCGCATAGAAACAGACGGACAGATGGACCGACGGACATGGCTATATCAATCCGGCTGTTGATGCTGATCTAGAATATCTATACTCTAAGGTGTCAAAGATATCTCCTTCTATGTTTTATACAAATCATGACAAAATTATAAACCCTCTACAAGGGTATAAAAAGTAAGGCGCTAAAATTTTCTGTTCTCTAATGCAGGTAATATTAGAGTATTATTTAAAGACTAATTTTAACTATAATTTTAGCCGAAATAATAATAATAATATTCTACTTATTTTGCATGTTGATAAATTTGTTAGCAAACCCGAAATTCTTTGTGTTTCCCAACTACGCCACTGGCAAAATTAACTCGCTGTGTAAGTATGTCGGTTGCTCTTACTCTCTGCGGGTCTTGTGGCTAATTTGATAAATATGCGCGCGTTTATTCAAATCAATCAGCGTCAGTCGAAGTGGCTGTGTTGCGAAGGGCTGCGGCTCCTTGCTTCTTCCTGCCGCACTCTCTCTTTCTCCCTCTCTTTTCTCTACTCGATTTGCCTCTCACTCTTGAACTATTTGCTTATCGCATGTGCTACATGCGTCTTTGCATCTTGTGGCATATAAATTCGAGCTGCTATCTTGCTTAAGAGAGCACACACATATACACTGAGACACATGCCTTCAGAGATTTCATTAATGTGCGGATAACTATAATGAGAGGCCCGCAAGTCCTCTAGCAACATAAGCTCGGAACACCATGGGGATTTGATGTGTTTATGTAGAAGAAAAGTTTTCGGCGAGGCATTTAATTAGCTATCAAATTTAATATCTTTTTAAATTAGAGGTTTTCGTTATTCAAAAATTGGAGTTAATTTATTGGCAGTCATTTACATTGGCAATTCAAATTTGTATTAGCAAAATGTAAAGATGAATTTTTTTTGTTTCGCAATCAGACTGTTCTATAATGCGTTTAGTATCTATATTAAATATCGTCGGGCTCGTGCACTAATTTATAAATTTGGGATAAACAGTGTTAAAAAAAAGTAAATTTAGTTACAGTTATATTAAAACAAAGTTTTAAATGGTGGTAGAAACGATTTTCGGCTCAAGGATTCGTCATGGGAGAAGGCCAAAGTGGCGCCATTTGAATTCCGGATATGTGTAGCTGAGGCCAAAGGCCCGGCCAAGCGACTACTGTGAACTAACAATCGATCTTCTATCTATCGATCTTTGGAGTAGAAGGCGATCTCGCCCTTGACAATTGCCAGATTCTGGAATCTATGCAGAGTTGAGTTTCCATTTACCATGGACAATCCTTGATTATCCCAATACCTTGGGACTTGGCAGTAATTCTCCAAATCGGAATGCCTGTGGGTACAATCTTTGCCAGTTGCTGAGAGGAATCTTGCTCTTCTTGTGCCGATATAGACTGGAGATTTTGGCAACTATTTATCACTGACGTGATGTGAAGTCTGAAAATTAGCCTCTGGTCGAGGAGCAAACCTTGGTATTTCACTTTATTGCGCTGTGGGGAGACGAAATCATTTTAAATTTATTTTCTTTGGTGGCAAAATAAGAAATCTAGTTTTTTGATAGTGTTAATGGAGGTACTTTTGCTTTAAACGTCCATATAATAAATCTTTCCCATTAAACGGATCCCCCACGATAAGCCAGCACTTTGCACCCCATCAACTTGCAAGCCAGAAAACTTCACTGCCAATTGGATAAGCATTTCAAACGCAACACACATGCATGCACACACATGCGCACACACCTATTTAAATGGCAAAAATTATAGTTTAGATTTGGGGTAAAAGTGTCTTCGTATTTCGTGTTAAGAGTTTGGCAAATACCAAAATGCTGTCCAAAAACTAAGCGCACGCATTCGACAAATATTACAATTACACTTGGCGGACACTTTTGCCAGTTGGAATATGTGCAAATTTATTGCGTATACGCAGCGTGCAACGTGCCGCAAATCCTGCAGACAGTCGCTTACCTGACCAAATGCATAAAGATGGGGGAGGTTGGAAAGCAAATACAGAACGAAACCATTTTCAAGCTGACACTTGGTCGGATTGTGAAATGGAATTTTGCCAAGCTCCAGATTGTAGCGAGTGGATTTCGTTTGTTGCGGGAAAGCTAAGCTTTTTATATGTATAAATTCCCTCTCACAATAATAATCAAAGTCTCAGCTCATTTGGTAAACACGCATTTGAGTTACTTTTGCGCAGTTTCAATTGAAATTTATTATGCCAAATGTGTAACATTGTGGCAAGAAGTGCTGCTGCACGTCGAATTAAACTTGTACTAAATGTGAGCTACTTCATCTAGCTGCCTTGCAACATTTTGTGGCGCTGCTTCAGTTAAAGTTTTGCTCAGGTAGTCAGGGTTAATTAAATTTGCTTGAAAAAAAAAATACATAAGAGCTGGCGCAAGCTCAAAGATATTTAAGTTAATAGCAAATAAATTAAATAAAAACCAAAGTCGAGTCAAGAAAAGTCGAAAAAATCGTGATTATCGATACACTTCAGCTATCGATAATAAAAGTGTAGATGTTTGCAAATCGTGTATTTAGTATATTCTTTTTACATGTATATTAAAAATTATTCAAATAAATCCAGCATTTCAAGGTGATTTAAATATCCTTTCATATATATTATTTATCGCACATTTCTGTGATTGTAAACATGCTGCATTTATCGATAGCAAAAATGTAAATATATGTCAAATTTTTAATTTTATATTTAATTTTAAATGTACACAAAGAAATTTAAAAGTATTTATTTCAATTTTGTTTTTTTTTTGACTAACTTTCCACATGGTTGAACCGGGCTCAGCTAAAGCATTCATTTGCTATTCAATTTCATGGCACCCCTTGCCTGTGCCTCGAGCCTGTCCAATAAATGTCAGATCTATTACTCGTTTATTTTGAAATCCAATCTCGAGTGCCACCGACCGATATAAAAGCGACGCGCTGCCTGTCTCTAGGCAAATTCATTAGAAATCGGGGGCAAAGAAATGCTTGATTGCAGTTCAGTAAATGAATACCCGGAGCATATTTGCCCACACTCCGGACGCCTGCTCCGATAGAACAAAGTAAAAGTTTCACATTCATTTGACAAGGCGCAAATGTCAAATTATATTACGTTAATTTAGATTCTTTTAAATGTCGCTTCATTTTTTTTCTCTCTGTTTTATTCTTCTACCATTTTTATACGCTAAGCTGTCAACACTTTTGCTGGCGGCGCAAATTCGAAAATGGTTAAATGGAAATTATTAGAATATTAAAATTCTTGACAAAAATATGAAAATTGACTAAATGAAAATTTTCAACTTGGGAATGGCTTATTTCTACAGTAAATATCGGCGCGGTAATTGTTTTCATATTGCTTTCTTGTCTTTCCAAAAATATGAATATTAATTGAAGTCTATTTGAAGCATAAGAAGGATAAATTCTTAAAGGAAAAGTCGACTATTTATGGCTTTGCTATCGCTTTTCTATCTTTCCAAAAATATGAAAATTAGTTTAAGGACAATATGAAGCAAAGGAATGGTAAATTCTTAAAGTAAATCTCGCCTATTTATCGCTTTTCTATCTTCCCTGTGTAACATGCGTTATATTTTCCTATACATTATGCAAAACCTTAAAGTTTCAATAGAAAACTCATGAAAAAGGCTTTGCTTAGCCTTTACCCATGTAAGCTCACGTTTTCGTATGTCTAAAACTGAACTCGAAGTCGATTGGCTCGTCAAATAACCTTCGAGTTGTTGTTGTTGTAGTTGCTGCCGTTGGCTGGCTAATTTTCGCTAATGCAAAGAAGAGGAAGCTGCCGAAGCGCCAAAAAAAAAAAAACTAATAAAATTTACGTTTATCCCTGGCAAAGGCACTCGAAAATGTGCGCCTAATGCGCCGGGATGATGATGCCAGCCGAGCTGAGGACGACCTTAATACAGACGGCAGACAGACATGCCACCCCCTGGGGGCTAAGTGCCATCGAATTTCAATTCAATTTACAGCCGACTCGTGTCGAGGGTGCAAAAAATAAAATGAAAATTCCTATAGCATATTTTTTGACTTGATTTGGCCGGCTCAATGCGGCGTATGAGTAATATTTTTTCGTGCAAAGGGTTGCGCGCCATAAGATGCGCTGATATTGATATCAAAAGAAGGCCGCTGTCTGCTGAGTTTTGTATTACCCTCCCAAAAAGAAAACGGCTTGGTGGTAGTTCTTTATTTTTTACACAGTTTTTTTTTGCTGTTTCTTTATTATATCACGTTTCCAACATAAATGCGTTAAGCACAACGTGCGAGGCCCGCGCGCTTTTAGGCGTATTTGAAATGCGCTTAAATTCATTTCGCTTTAATACTCTCTTCACAAAAGGCCACTTCAATTTTATCAATAAATGTGTATATATATATATTTAATCGGTCTCAAGAGATTTCATATAACCAACTTGCATAGATTTGTCTTTTCCTGCAGAATGAAATCGGATTGAACAAGAGCCTCATAATGTCGTTCTGGTATATCTCATAGATATAATAGATTCCTGTGTATTTATATTTGTTATTGTTTTTTCAAGTATTCAATATGTTTTATTATGCGCTGGAATCGATCTTCGTTCTTCTGAACTCTACCAAGCGTTAACTTCATTTGAATTTACATTGGGTAGTGTGTTCAGATGATTCACCTCGTAGATACTTAGGAGACGCTTCGAGGCGCATCTCTGATGACTCAGCAGCTTATCGGTTGCCGGTCACCTTGCGTGTTGGCTTGGTCTGCGCTTATTCGATGCAGTTGGTGTGCTGATGCCGTGCCCTAGACTTGGTTGAAATTTGCAGCTTGCTTTGTGGTTTCAAAAGCGAGTCAAGCTATTGGAGCCTTCTCAAGCAATTTGACCTGTTTGCTGGGATGTGGGAACCCCAGTTGAGCCTACGGGCCAGGTGGACGCCCAGATGAACTGGTGTGGTCGTAACCCCTGGCAACTATTTGGACAAAAGCGAACTTGGCTCTGTTTATATCCATGTTCCAGTTCGCTGTCCACGTTTCTACATAGGACCACCATATTATATAGCTCCTATAGGAATATTTCTTCTTGAGGAATGGTATTTAATTTTGTTCCATATGCGCAAGGGTATTTGAAATTCTTTATTGCGAAGATAACTGTATTTTATTCTCCCTTTTTTTTTTTGGCTGTCATGACAGGCATTGAATTACAAGCAAAGTCCTGAGCACCCACACACACACACCTACACACACACACCTTCACACACATACAGTGTGTACAGCCGCTCAAACACACACATGTGTGAGCTTTTGGCTTAAAGCCTCACTACAGCTCAGTTTGGAGGACACTCTCTCTCTCTATATATATATATAGGGGGATTTTAGCCTTGGCAGCAATTTGATGGCATTTGGTTCAAGTGGCGGGCGTCTATTTCATATGTATTATTTGCTCATAGCGCCAGGGGGTAATCCTTTAGTTTATATTATTAGCTTGTAATGTGCGCATAATTGAAGGGATTTCTGCTGCGCGGCAAAAATCCTTGAAAACTCAGCTAGGTGCAAAGTCCTTTGGGATGGCTGCCACTCGAAACTGATGAGCTGCAAGGTGTTAAAAGATGAAAGGTTTGAGTGGGGTGAAAATATATGTGCACAAGGTTATTCTAAGAAGTCGATATAAAATACAATATAATAATATTTATTCGAATCTCATGTATGATTTTAATGTATATTTTCTTATGTTGTTCTTGCTATATGAAGTTTCGAAGGGAAATTCTCCAAAGTGTTGGGTAATAAACAAAGTATACAGTGGACATCGTTAAAACTCTAGGGGAAATTCGAGTACATTTTTGCGAATCAAGCTTTAAAACTTTAAAATAAGGGAGTTTTTTATTAAATAGTGAAACTCGCTGTTAAAGTAGCAAGACTTAAGGGAAATTTAAAGTTACTTGTACGAGCTGTGGGGAAGTTAGGGTAATTTTTAGAATTTAATATATATAATCGGAGAAGATTTTAGAGATTAGTCTACCTAATATCTTAAATAAGACTTTCCGTTGATTTTGAACCCGCAGCTTCAGCAGAAGCTCGTAAACTTTCATAGTTGGGGTTTTATGATCTTAAAATTATATAAAGTTTAAGGGAATTTTCTTTAAATAGGGAAATTCTATGTAAAAGTACCAAGAAACAAGGGAAATTTAATAGTTACTTTTCAGAGCTGCGAGGAAATTAGGCTAATTTTAGAATTTAATATGTTTCATCAGAAAAGATTCAAGAGATTAGCCTACATCATTTCATATATAGGGCTTTCCCTTGATTTCGAACCCTCCGCTTCTCAGCAGAAGCTCGTAAATTTTCATAGTTGGGATTTCATTATTTGTTGTAATTTCAGGAATGGGCTTAAACATGTTCTTGTGGTCGTTTGCTTGCACCTTGCTTTGGGGCCAAACAATTTTGTACCTTTTCGCGCATACTTTCAATTTCTTGGACTCTTTTTTGTGTGTGTGCTGCTGGAAGTGCTGCCGTTCTTAGCGCCAGCTGTTTCAGATTTATATGAAAAACTTGCGAGCCCTTAGCGCGCTTTTCAATTTGCTGGCGATTTTTGCCTTTTCGGCTTTTGGGCGTACCCATTGTTGTTGTTGCGGTGTGAAATGTGTGTTTTAGTGGCTTGGCATTAGCATGTTGGAAATACATAATGCCCAGGCAGCGTTATGAAGCGTCATAAAAAAATAAAGAAAAAACAAACGTTGCGCATTGCATTGAAAAATAAAATAAAATATGGTAAAAATTGTGTGTTTTTAGCTTTTGGTGGCCGAAAATTTATGTGCGCAAAATATGTGGCCTTTTTTCTGCTGAGCTTGTGGCGACATAACTAAAAAATGAAATAGAAATATATGTAGGCCGTGGCATAAGTTATAGCACGGCATGGTTCGGATTACAGAAAAATTCAATTACTTGTAGGGTTAAGAAAAAGTCAACTTTAAGGTAACTTTATGTGTGTGAAGTTGAAAAGGCTGGACTTTATGGATATAAATAAGTATTTTTATGATTCAGCTGGAAAATTTTGAGTTTACTCAAAATTTGCGAGTAAAAATTTAACTCTAATTCTATATAAAAATGATTACATAATTATATTTTAAATATGGCAAAGAAAATATATAGGGAAGGGTCTGAACTATGAGAAAAACATTCAGTTAAATTATATAGTTATCTATAAAATAATATAAAACATAAATAATAACAATTTTTTTTATTTGCATCTTGACATTGCTTTGTCCGAACGTAAATGGGCCGAGCTCTAGGATCTTTTTGTTTTGATGTTAAGTGTGTATTTAAAATGCTTATTTGATTTACAAAACTAAGAAATTGTGGATAAAAATCACCTATAAACAGCAGTTAAAAGAGGTGATAAGTACAAATAAAAATCAATAAAAATAAAATCAATTGAAACTGATTCCATATAACATGTTGATACTGATCGGGCTAATTAATTGATCTGCCATATTCTGAAAGCATATTATATTTTATCTTATTATCTTATATTATATTATTATTTCCTAATGCCGTTCTTAAATAACATTTTATTAGAATATGATGAGAGTATTCATATACTTTAGGTATTTCCTAATGTCTTTCTAATATAAGATGTCATAATGTTAAAATTCATCTTTAAATACACCCACCCTTATGCTGTATTACGGAAAAGTCATTTCGTCATTTGGTCATTTTCGCATTGTCGTCATCGACATTGTCTGAGCTCATCAATAAATTTGGACACTACACGTGCTTAAACAAGCCAACAATCTGTGAAGAGCCTCAAATCCTTTGTTCACACTAAGCCGAAGCAGAAGCAGCAGCAGCAGCAGAGACTAAACAATAGAATGTTTGCATTTTTTTTTTTTGCTTATTGACGTCGATTCTGGTGTTGACTTCAAGTGGAAACTGGGTCGTCTTTTCAAATGAAATACAATACGAGCGCTTATTATTTATAGTTATGTTTTGTTGCAAAATTCCACATGCCTCGAAATGATTGCTACTTATCAGTTTGCCGTTGCCTTTGTTCAAATTCAATACCCATTTCTTGTTGGCCTGCGTAGGCCCAAGTGTTGACTGTGATTTATGACGTTGCCTGCCTGAAAAGTCTTTGAAAACGCCACTAATAGCAATTAGGCGAGCGCAACAAGTACTACTCCGTGCCATCCAATAAAACCAGCTACTTTATGGTATTACACTGTGCACTTTTTTGTTTTTGGCTTTAAGCAGAAGTAATACTCATTCTATTATCGTCTCATTTGTCTTAGTTGTGCACGCTTCGCAACTCTTTTCGCGCTCTGCCACTTCCACATTTGTTTTCCTTAGTTCAAGCGAGCGACAAGGGGATGAGAAAAACCACTCCGTAACGTAAGTTTATAGCTTTACCAAAACTTTTTCACACACGTCTTTGCGACTGGACATTTTTTCGTTGTTGTTTTCACACAAATATATTGAAAAGTTTTTATGTTTTGTCCAAGTAATAAAAAAAATAAACAAAACTTTTCTGCTTAAGAGCCCTTGATCGGAAAATATCCTGTAGACGAAAATAAAATGATGGGAAACTTGCTAAGAAGAAAACCATGTCAAATACGATCTACGATCGCGATTTCAATATCTCCATATCAAGTAAGCCCTCTAGTTTGATTCTGCATCTAAATTGGGATATCCTTTCTTTTCATAGCCAGAACCCATTGAAAATGGGTAGAAAGTGAGTATTTCCGCGAATCTATGTAACAGGTAGAAGGAAGCATCTCCGAACCCATAAAGTATATGTATTCTTGATCAGCATCAATTACTGATCTAGCCATATCCGCATGGCCTTCCGTCCGTCTGTCGGTCCGTATCCATATACGCGTCGGTCTCAGAACCTATAAGAGCTAGAGATTTTGAAGGTAGATCCTCCTAGTGTCCCCGAGTTTGTTTTCGATAATCGATTACTTGACTCGTTTTCCAGCAATTGATAGGAATCTATATTGAAATCCATTTTTCGAACCTTCTTAGGTTTTAAGCGC